ATTGTTCCAAGGAATCGATGGATCGATAAGCTCAACACAAGATCCGCACAAAATGCACTCAGGCCCGATGGCAAGGAATTCTATGTTGATTCAGAGATGGAGTTCTATGTGAGATGCAACAGCGGACACACACGACAAGTCGAGATCCAATCCTTTGGACGACCCCTGTACTCTGAGCAGAAAGAGCCTCATCACGACGAACCGGACTATGATCTCCCAACGGAATCCATTCCGCCAAGTCCGCATCCGTCAAGATCCGAGGCGCCTCATGAAGATGAAGGCACAGCTCAGCCCAAGCACAGAATGCGAAGGCCGGCACCACCATCCATTGAAGAAGAGAGAAAAATCAAGCCGTTCTCGAAGAAGCCCATCACATTCATGTTCCATGCAACCTATGGAAATCAGCTCTACAGCATCATGGAGCACGGGCTCAAATCTGGGAAATCCCAGTCAAACCCTTCGGGGAGACTGCACGTCCACATGGCATGCATCGATGACGTCATCCTCGACGACGATGAGTCAGAAGCCGCATTGACCCATGTGCCAGCAGGAAGAGATGCACTGTTGATCCTTGCATTCCTCAAGGACCAAGACTATGGCATCCGACTCTCCGAAGAGCGAACAGCGTTGACAGACAAAACCATTGAGGCAAGACACATTGCTACAGCATTTGAACCTGATGGCAGCCTCATGGCGAGCAACAAGTGGGTCATGAAGAAGCATCTCGATCATGAAGAATACGAGATGTACGACACCAAGATCCGCGAATTTGCTGATGCCTTCTTCAATTATGTGAATTCCACCAAGCACAGCAAGGAAAAGGATACTTCCTCTGAGACCAAGAAGAGACGACATTCCACCGATCAGGACGAAACTGAAGGAGAGATGATGGAACCCTCCGGGGAAAGATCCGTCAAGCCAAAGCTCATCGTGGAATATCACAATTCAGAGAACCTAGATGAGTTCATCCAAGAACTCAAGGAAATCTATCTCGAAACAGATTTGAACAAAAAGGACGCAGAGGAAGAGCTCGCGGGGACCAGGGAAAACCTCACCCGCTTCATGAACCAGTTCAACAAAGATCCAAGAAGAGCTCATCCCAACTTGACAGAGTGCGAGAGAGCCTCATTGGCACATGTCGATCCCGATGTCAATCGGTGAAGAAGAATTCTACTTCCCTCATCGAGGAGAATGTCCCACCATTGACGAGTACAAGCAAGCTCAACCAGGATCCGGATATCCGATCAAGCTTCCGCTTGGATTGAAGAAGCTCAGGTCACATGATGACCCGAATATCATCCGAGCCTATGCCGATATCCTGGGATCGCTGATGCAGCCGACCGACCGTCCTCCTGTGGACTATCTCAATATGCATGAGTTCACCTCATCCATAGCGATCAACATGCTTACCCTGAACCATGGAAACCTCACAAGGAATCCAAAGCTGGACAACAGGGAGGTGCGCAACATGCCGATGAAGGATCGACCGATCGTAAAGATGATGATGCAGAACAGTGCGCGCATCTTATGCCTGAATGAAGCAGACGCATTCTTCACTCCTAATGATGAGAAATCCAGGGAGCTCATCAAGACGTTCATCCGATACGGTTACAAGGGCATCGTAATCAAGCAATGGTCATCCAGACCGATCGCATGCTTTGTCCGTGGCGGACCTTCTGCACGAGTGGAACTTCTGGCAAGACACATTTCCACAAGGAGCCAGAGTTGGGGAACCACATTCGGAATGTTCAGATGTTTCTTCGGAACTGAAGGAAGTTGCACTGATCCCGAATACGAAATTCCGACCTCGGATTGCTTGGCAACCACAGGACCATCCATGTTTACTGAATCCAAGAAGTACATTGGATCGAGATTGCCAACACGCACCATTGTCCAAGGACATGGCCGAGACAAGGAGATCGTCGTTCTCCACATCGAGCAGAGTGATGAGTTTCGTGGCATGATCCCTGAAATCATCCAACAAGTCACTCCACGAGTTTGACGACCGCCACATAACGAGGGCAGATCTCCCATTCGCAACCATTGGAGTCTTCCACATCCATCCTTCAATTAGCCATGGAGCAGCAAAGGAAGATCTTCAGAATGCAATCATGCCGCTCGTGACCTTGTACCGATGCGATGCGATCACCGGAGACGCCAACAAATCAGCGAACACCTACAGCAAACTCCAGCACGTCTACAATCCGGCCAACGGTCTCGTGAACATCCTCATGAGAGCATATCAGAGACTGTGGAATGAAACGAAGAATCTGCCACTCGTGGACAGAATGGAGTATGCAATGGAGACTTCGTGCACCCTGAAATCCATTGTCCGTCATCACCTGTGCATGAAATGTGGATCAGGATATGATCGAACATTCCCAGATGTGATGATGATCCACCAGGGACAATCCATCCTCCAATCATCCACACTGGCATATTGGATTCTCTCCGGAATAGATCCAGGGACCAACAACGACCTCAACTACCACAGGGCTCCAGTTCCCTCCGGGGACACCCCCCGCCACCCCACCCCACCCCACGCACGCGTGGATGCAGTGCTGCAATTGAGCAGGTGCGCTTCTTTCGCGTGCGTGGATGCAGTGCTGAGCAGGTGCACTTGGATTTCGTGGCAGGCGCACTATTGTGAGTGACTTGGAGCGCTCACGTGCGTGCGCCGACGCTCCAAAAGCTGCGCCCGCGCGCAAAACTAGCACGCGCATGCTTGTGAAGCGACCTGCAAGAGTGCGGTTGAAACCAGGTTCCGCGTGGGTTTTGCAGCTGGATTTCGTGGCAGGCGCGCTTTTTTGAGTGACCGCTCACGTGCTCCTGTGAGACCCGAGCCGCTGCGTGCTCCGACGCTTGAAAAGCTGCGCCCGCGCACAAAACTAGCACGCGCATGCTTGTGAAGCGACCTGCATGAGGGCAGTTGAAGCCAGGTCCCGCGTGGGTTTTGGAGCTGGATTTCGTAGCAGGCACGCTTTTTTGAGTGGCTCGGAGCGCTCACGTGCTCCTGTGAGACCCGAGCCGCTGCGTGCTCCGACGCTTGAAAAGCTGCGCCCGCGCGCTAAATTAGCACATGCTTGTGAAGCAGCCTGCGAGAGCGCAGATTTGGGGCTGGATTTCGTGGCAGGCGCAGTACTTTGAGCGACCACATGCTCCTGTGAGACCAGAAACGGCTGGAGTGTCCACGTGTGCCGGTGAGACCGAAACCACGTGCTCCTGTGAGGCCGGGTATGGGTCAAAATTAAGCCACCAAGAATTGGACCGCAGGTTTGAATGTCCATGTTTCCATTTTCCCGGGCAAGCCACTTTGGGTACATTTTTTTGACCCACAGCCAAACGAAGAGAGATCTCCAAAGCTCCAAATCCTCCTGTCCCCCAACTCCCCAAATCCCATGAGCCTTGATCGACTCCCAGGCCGAATGACCTCCTCCAACAGCCAACCAATTCACCAAAACTGGCAAGGTGTGTTGATTGTCCAACAAAAACAGCCATGTAGTCTCCTCCAAATTCAGTTTATTTTCCCACAGCCAAATGACATCAAATGCAGGTTTTAGTCAATGTTTCTACTTACCAGGGCAAGCCATTTTGGGGTTACCAACTATTTTTGACCCACAGCCTAATGACTTCCAATCATGTGACTTTCGTGGCTTGGGACTTCACGGACTTCACCCCTGGCAGGGGAGTCATGCAGTCCGCCAGGGGCGCAGCGGAGGATCACTGGCGCTCGTCCTCAGATGTGGTGCCCCAATGGTTCCCTGCCCCCAGGGTACCAACCTGAAAATGCAACAAAGAAAGATAACACACATATATGTATAGCACGTGCATGCATGTATTGATATGTATCAATATATATATATATATATACACACACATATATATATATATATATTTGTATAGATATATATAACCTGCACATATAGAATATGTGTATACATGTTTTTTTAATACACAACTAGTGCCGGAGCCAGTACGAGGCCGAATCTAAGGGGCATCCCACAAATGTGGGTGTGCTGCCTGGGCACACCTTTGCATGGTTCATTTGGGTGCAACATGGCCCATCATTGCTTGATTGCTATTGGGTTGGATCTTTAGACTTTAACTTTTTGGGAAATCAAGGTGTTTTTTACTAAACCCGCAAAAAGTTAAACTTCTTTCAGAGGGTCAACAGAAACTAATATTGTTTACTTCCCGAAAGGGAAACCAAAAGGGGATGGCCCGTGTGTGTGTTTTTCCCACAACCCCATCGCATCGGAAGCGACTGAGGTCGACCAGCGTGTGGCTTGTACGTTTCAAAAGGATGATGGGGTGTGTGGCTATATGATTGTGTCAGATTGATGAATTGAGGGTCTCCAATGATCGAGGCAAACCTTCCCTGTTTGCGGGACCACCCCCCTGTCAAGCCACAATTCATGTGGTCTTAACATTAGGCGTCCTATCTTCGCCATTTTTCCCTGGTGTGGTGTGGGGCTGGAAGCCATCTGGCTATGGGTCAAAATTAAGCCACCAGGGGACCGCAGGTTTTAGTCCATGTTTCCATTTTGTAGGGTTTGATTTGGGGTACCGATTTTTGTCCCACAGGTGTCCTATATACGCAATTTTTCCCTGGGGTGTGGTTTTGGGCTGGAAGCCATTTTGCCGAAGCCATTCTGGACCAGTTGGCGTACTGACGGAGAACTGTTGTCGTACACGTTTGCACCACATCGGTGGAGCTTGCGCCACTCCATCGCACTGAATTGCACCGAGACATTGGCATAATGGGAGCAAGGCAACGACAAAAATCTGGCATTTTCTCGACGCCTTCAGACAACTCAGTTGTTCAGTGGCACCCTGTTTCCCTTTGTTTGTTTTGTAGTGGCTGCCCCACTAAAAAGGGTCTTCCCAAAAAAGGGTTCCTTTTTTCCTGGGTCACTGAACAGCTGAGACAAACATCAAGACACCTCAACGGATGGAAGTTTGGGATGGTTTCAGGATTTATCATGGTACGTTTTGTTAATTGCAGTTCGAGTTTGGCGATGAAGAACTTTGCACCGACATCGCCGGTGCGTCGTCATGGCTGTGAGAGGCCGGGATCGAGCCACTTGCAAGCTTCCCCACAACCTTTGCCCTTGGTTTTGCATGTTTTCAGGGGCACAAGGAATGGTGTGAGTGAGTCAGACAACGTGAGCAGGACATGCCGATCAAAGAGAAGTTGCCAGAACTTCGCTTGTGTCTCTTTGTGAGGGTACTCCTTTCAGGGGTTGGTTTAAAGGGAAGCCAAAAGGGAACCGGCCCATTTTGAGGTTTCCCCCTTTTAGAGGCAAGCCCATGTGCACAGAGTTTGCTCAATGGTAGTAGGGTGGATAGGTCGGGTCTCGCATAGGCAGTTAGGCAGACGTTTTTGTTTTTCTTGTGGAAGAGCACCCCAAGTTTTGTTGCTCAGTAGGAAATGAGACATGGAATGGGCCAAATAAACCATGCAACTGGTGGTTTCCTTTACGTGAGGGCTGGATTCATTTCCACATGCCCTACTTGTCGCACCAGCAAGTTTGGGTTCCTTGAGAGCCTGAATGAAACATCGACTGGGGAAGAAATGGGGCACAACACGAGGCAAACGTTCTCCGCACCAGGATCTACATGGGTTCTGTTTGGGCGCTTGCTTTGCGAGTGATCCAAACACTCATGGGCTTGGTTCGGGCGGCTGCAAGTTAGGAACGGATCACCTGGCAGCCTGCTGCATGGAATGAAGCTTGCAGCGTTCTGGCGCAGCCTTCTCCCGGGGAGATCTGGCGCTGTTCGCGTAGGCACTTGCCCAGTTTCGCCGCCGGCCCCTTTTTCTGGCTTATGCCGCGAACGCTGAAGACATGGTGGCAGCTGGGCTCTCGTCAGCAGAAAGGAATACTTTGAAATGGCTGTGGGTCAAAACCCTGTAGCCCTGGTGAACATCGGAACAGGTGGCAAATGGATGTGCATCCACCCCAAAATGGTACCATTGGTTTTGAATGTGTAAAGGAACTGGTGGACTCAGAGCCAGAATAGAGCTTTGCAAAATGAGCACAGGACGCACGCCGCGGTACTTTAAGTGCAAAGCTCCACTCCCTTCTCCCAACATAACCTCCACTCCTAGCCCCCAAATGACCCCGGGTAACTGTGCCCATGTGGGAAAGAAAGCCAGTCATCTTGTTTGGTGGTTTTCCTCAATCGGTCATCCCCTGCAAATCAGCTTCCCACCAATTGATGCTTTTCCATTCAACCTGAACCTACTTGGACATCCCCAAGCCACCGGAACCTACTTGGGGAACCCCTCAATTTCACCACCAAGCCACCGATTCGGTCCAAGCCGCCCTTTCTGAGGGCCTTGGATCAGCCAGGCCCATCAGCCCTCTGCAGATCGTCTTGCTGGTGGCTTGGGGCTCAGGTGCTAGAATTCCATGGGTGGTTCCATTTTCCCATGAAGAGTGGAAGATGAATGGAATTGGGGACCGCCTGAACAAAAATCCAAGTTGCTTCTAACTTGGGATCCCATTCAGCTTCCGTGCTTTGAGGGGGTTGGGACCTTAAGCGCTGAATGTTGGGGTCAGCCCCTTTGCGGAAGCCATATACCAACTGAATTCTGGTTTTGTCGGGCGCCTCGCTCCAGTCCCCCAGGGACCTTCCGGGAGTTGCACGTGCAACGCTTGAAATCCAATTTGGGTGAGTGTCCTGGGAGATGTTCGGGGGCAAGCCCGGTCCGAAGAACCGATTAGCCAACATGTGGGAGATGGAATGTGTATGGTGTTTCCCCCTCCGATTGCGGCGACCATGCTTTATGGCTGCTTTTGCACGTTGAGTCCAGGTTGATTTGTGGTTTTGCCTGAAGGGAGGCAGGCAGATGCATTAGTCCCTGGTCAGTCAACAAGCTCTACCCTTTGTGTTGACTGGTGCCTTGATCATTTGAGTCAAGATTTGGACTTTCCTCAAACAGAAACGGCGAGGCTTGGTGAGCACTCGTGTGTTTTGCCCTCTTTTTTTTGGCATCCCACCCGCCATGGCCCTGAGATCATTCTGCTCGACGGCCTGGTCTTCGCCTTCTGCGCGCTTCCCTTGGTGCAGGAGGGGTCGGCAACTGTTTGGCACCTGGACCACTCAACGAGGCCACTTGGAGGTTCACTCCAAGTTACTGTGTGTCTGTGGCTTTTTTTTGAAGCACCTTGGACTTCGAAAGTTACACAATCCAAAGGACTCACGAAATGTCCCATGTCCGGGGAAGCCTTCCTTTCTTTGACCGCCCATATGACGTTGTGAGTGTCGGGACGCCAAAGGGTTCAAGTTAAGCTGGTGGGTTCCATTCGGACAGGGGGCATTTTGACCATCTGCGCTACCTGTATCTGAAACCGTCCCCTAACCCCGCGTCCCTTTCCCAAACTTTAAGGCCTTTGGAGACGCGGGAATCATTGAAACCGAAAATGTGTTTTTGTTTTCTCGAATTCACGCCGACTTGGGCCTCTGCAACAGTGGCCCTTCCCAACAGGGCTCCCTATATGTCCTCTTAAAACATCATCCCCACCAAGGGACCCTCATTCATGGGCCAAGCAAGTGATGTTTAGGACATGGCAGTCCTTCCTTAAACATGACTGTAAGTCTTTCTAAAAGGTAAGGCTCCCTGGCAGTGACCACCCCACGTCAGGTAAGTTGATGTTGAATATGTCCGCAAAATAGGACAACCTCAAGATATATTCCACAGAACTGCGCCTTACTAAGTGCAGATATGAGAAATCCAAGCCGTCCGGCAATCTTCGAGTACTTGGCGAGGACTCCGTTGTGCAAATCATTCTGGCGGTGGTCTATGCGCTGGTCGCAGCCTGGCACTGTGTGGAGGAACCGTTTGGCTCACGCAGCCTCCGCAAAGCTGCCCTTGGGCCCTCTAAGCCTTGGTGGTTATCCCCGCAGCGTTTTGGCTTTTTGGGTTTAGTGGGAGTTTCCATTTAACGCACGTTCAGGGGATCTGAGAACAGCCCAGTTTGTTTTGGTTTCCCGTAAGTGTCCCTGGGGGGATCCTGTGTCAAGACGCTCGTGTCTGGAATGCCTGGGGATACCATTACACATGCAGCGGCAATTTTCCCTACCCCTACAGAGTTTCCAATCGGCATGAGGAGTGTATTTGTCAAGGAGCCGACTCCCACTAGGTTTGTGTTTGGCAAGCTCACTAAAACTTGCCACTCCAAAAAGGGCCCCTGCTGCAAGGCTGGAGAGAGCGCAAGCAACAACAAACAGGCACCTGTTTTCTACCAGTACCTGTCGGGTCACATTTTGCGGCCGGCCAGTTTGCGGGTTTCACCCGGATCTTTATATCCATCTTGACCATGTGTCATGGTATCCCCAGGCATTCCAGACAGCGTCTTGACACAGGATCTTTTCGGGGACACTTGCGGAGTCTTGAAACCGAGGTTCAATGCGTTGTGGCCGGTGCTCAAGGTTCCGATCCTCCAACCTATGACCAGGGCAGTGCATTGGTTCTGAGATTTTTAGAGAAATGTCTTGCGACGGCGTGTCTTGGAGCACGGTGGCGCCAGCTAAGGTTCTTGGCATGGTGGGTGCCGGCGTGCACGTGGCGATCACTGACCCCTCACATCAAAATGCCACTGGGCGGCACAGGCTTCGGCGTGGTGGCGCTTTGGAACCCAACACGGGAGGATCGAAGGGAGACGCACTGCAAAGAGTGAGGGTTTTGGACCACATGAATCCGCAGGCACGAAAAGTCTCCCAAAACCGTTGTTGTCGCTTTTTCTGGCCAGTCAGCGGAAATGTCAGTGGGAATGATTCGCCTGGAAAATGGCTGGTTGACATAAATCCAAAAGATGTAGATGATGTCCACCAAAGGGACCGAAAGGCTTAAAGGCGTGCCTTTGCTTTGCGGATGGTCCCAAGTGGTCTTAGTAAAACCAGACGATACATACCGCTTGCCACCGATTCAATGCCCAAGGTGTCGTGGAAGCTCGGCAAAGGGCAACTTGGCTGCACGCAGCCCGTCACAAGGCGACGCCTGCGGAGGTCTGCAGCAAGAAACAAGTCTCAGTTGTTCAGTGGCACCAAGTTTGTTTCCTTGTTTTTATTGGCTGCCGCACTAAAAATGGTCTTCCCAAGAAAGGGTTCCCTTCTTTTTCCAGGGTCACTGAACAACTGAGAAGTGGAATTAAAGCGCTCGAACGCCAAAGTGGGCGTACATTTCCGCGCGCTCGACCAGCCAGAGCTTCATTCAACTACACTGCGGTAGACACTTAGGCTGTCATGAATTTCCCTTTGCCCTGGCAAGCATCGTCTATTTGGCTGTGGATCAAAAATAGGTACCCAAAATAGCACCCTGGTAAATGGAAACAAAGACAAAAACCTGTGGGCCCCTAGTGGTTTAATTTTGACCCACACCCATGTAATAGTCATTACTATGGAAAAGTGACCTCCGCCAAGGGCACTGGTCACTAGACTCACCAGATGTGAGCCCAGCTGACTCAAGGTCCTTCGATGAGATCAACACGCAGCTGCCGGTATGCTGGACCTGCCACGTGCGCCAGGTGCGCACAGATCTCTTCCTCTCCCCCAGCTGTGGGAGGTAGTCATTGCTTCCCTTTGCTGAAATGATGATGTGTTTTTGTTTTCCCCTGTTGTTTTTACAAAGGAGTCGATTTCACTCTTGGAGTAATCTTTTCTCATTCAGCGACAAACAACCTGCTGGCGCCTAGTAGGGAATGTCCCAGTGTTGGGAATGAACCTAGATATTCCCTTGAAGGAAGCCATAGGGGGTCATTCGCTGATTCTCTGCTGGGAACCAGCAAGGCAATTGCAATGCCCGACCTTTGATGAGCAAACCCTTTTTTGAAACCACTGGAGTCTTTTGGAGACGAGCAACTACGCAGATGATATTTGCTTTCTACCTGCAAACCAACGAGCAACCGAGCCACGTTGCCATGGAACCTGACGGAGGGGTGCTGGAACCCTTTTTTCTACAAATCGGGGACTCCAGAATGTTCTTGTGGTTTCCCAGTTTCCTCAAAATCAATCCCCTGACGGGTACCCTGAACAAACAATGACAAGATCAACCCTCATTTTTTCTTCAAAGTCACCTAGTTGCTGAAGATCTGCGTTGTTGTTTGGTGCATTGATGCTTAACGGGCATAGGGTCACACCCCGTGATGCTGCTTCCTCCGTGAGGAGTGGCGGACGGAGCACTGCAACACCTGCAACAGGCAACGCGACTGCAGCCAGCCTTTCGTGTTTTCTTTCGGTTGGAAAGTGCAACCTGGAAGGCGGCCGTCCACACCAATGCTGGGGTCTCCTCAGCACATATTTGATGTAATTATTTCAGTGTGCGATTCTTGTGAGGCAAGATCTATTTGCTGTGTAGTTCTCAGGTGTGGGCCAAGCTCTTGAACTGTGGTCCGTTACCCCTGATTCATAACCCCCCCAGTAATAACCCCCCCCCTCCCCCCAACCTCCCCCAAGGTCGACCAGGTTTTTGGAGAGTCCCCGCCTATGCTCCCGATAGCATATTGCGGCAGAATGCCTGGCAGGGATTCGGGGGGATGGGCCTTGAAGGGTGTGTGTGTTTGTGTGTGTGTGTGTTTGTGTGTGTGTGTGTGCGAGTGTGTGCGTGCTCCCTGTATGAGCTTGTCACCTTGACTGTTTAAGCATCATGTAACAAGACGTGTGCTGTGCGGCTAGCGGTTGTTTTGTTGTTTCCCCCGGTTGCGGGGAAAAGCAAGTGTTAAGACTTAAGACTATGAAGGGGACTATTTAGCATTTGTAGAAGCATTGGCCGTAGCTCTTGTAGTTCAATATGTTGTATTTTTTTTTTTGTGGGGGGGGGGGTTGGAGGCCAAGCCAAAAATGGATTAGGATGTTTGTGTTTGGCCCAACTTGTCTACCCCCTTTAAAGTAAATTTGGTTGGCAATCGAGGGGGAGAAGAGGATCGATGATCAGTCTTTATTAAGGGCTTTTTTTAGTCAGGAGGCCGCATGTTCCCCAAACAAAAAATAATGTGTGGCAACCGCAGGAAGTCAAGTGGTAAATGGGCATCCTCCCACTCAGCTACTGGATTCCACCCTTCCACTTTTGTGTGGGTTCCGAAGCCACTGCAAATGGGTGTGTGTTTTTTGAGGGTACCATTTGCGTTAGTGTTTTAAATGGAAACCAACCGGAAAATCACAGTTGTTGGGGTAGCTACATCCAAATGTTTGCTCCAACAAGCAATGGTTCCAACTTCTCTTGTTGTGAACGTGTCAGTGGTTGCAACTGCTTTTTGCGCTTGTGGTACGCTTGCCAGGGCCTGGAAGCAGCGTTGCAAATGCTTGCGGGTATGGACCGCTGAGCTCAGACACATTCCCATCAAAAGTCAGACATGACTTGCCAGATTGGCTCGGCTTTTTCAGCCAAGGTGCGTGGACAGATTCGACCACCACTGCATTTGGCTGAACAACTGCCACGTGGCCAAGCGGGTTGGTGGCTGGGTTTGGGTACCTTTCTGGCCCTCGCAATTCTGCTAGGACAGCATCCCCCTTTTTTTGCTCGCCCTCCCGCAACCCCCCCCAATCAAAAAGCAAACACAAATCGAAACATGCCTGGTTGAGGCCTTTTTCGGAGAAAAGTCATGTTTCCGAGCGAGGTTGGGGGACTGAATTCTTCAGTGACACCCCCCTTTCGGTTTAGTGGCTTCCCCACTAAAATTCGTCCACTCCCCAAAACGGGTGCCCTTAAACTGGTTGTGGGATCACTCGGGACCTTTTCCCACTTCTGTGATACGAGGGAATCTCCCCCCTTATATTGGGGGATTAGTCTTTGGGAAGCCCTCTCCGTTGTATTACACAAGTAGATTCCATCTCCCACAGCCCTGCCTTAAACCGTCACTGAATCGCATGTGAGGGATCCCTGTGAGAAAGAAACGCCTGCGACAAAAAGCGACGCTCAGGTGTGGGCCATGCGAACTACAGAAGCTTCTGGGCAGCCATGACCCTCGCTGTTTGCATGTTAGGCGGGCTTTTTGGGCCTCCTCTTGACCTGCCTTGTGTTTTTTTTGGTTGATGAACCCCCTCCTGGCTGGTTACAGTGGTTTTAAATGTAAACCAACAGGACAACTTCTTTGGGAGGGAGGGGTTCCCGATAACAGACTCACTCACTTGGCCAACTTTGCTCATTGGAATCTGGGCAAGTACCCTACGAACATGGAAGTGCACAAAGGTCTTTTGGATGGCTACTTTCCTCGTGAAAGAATAGACTTCATGATGTGAGCAAAGGGCTAACAAGTTTGAAGCCATCGTTTGGGCCAGTCGTGAACTCGCAGATGGCCAGTTTCCGAGATGGTGTAGTGTTCACTCTTGGGGCCAAGAAGCAACAGCGCTTTTCAGCAGTTCATCCCCAAAATTGCCCGCTTCTGAAGGACTGGAGCCAAGGAATCCTGACCTGCTGTTCCAATGGGTTTCAAATTGTAAAAGGCAGACCAGGTCCAGGTGAGTTTTTGGTGCATTAGCTCGTTGCCAAAGAGCTCGTTACTCGTCATGGGTGGGCGGGAGGCAGCGGTACCCTTTCCTGTGCATCCATTTGCCGTAGGCAAAGGCAACCCTTTGAACAAGGGAAACGGTTGGTTCTCACGGTAACTGGGATGTTACTTCTCAGTTGTTCAGTGGCACCAATTCTTTTCTTTTTTTGTGTTTTTCGTGGCTGCCCCACCAAACATGGTCTTCCCCAAAAAGGGTTCCCTTTTTTTCCAAGGTCACTGAGCAACTGAGGGACGCGTCCATGTTAGATTCCTTGGCAGATCCCCCGCAGCCTTGGAATTTGGGGAGCGGGGGGTTACCCTTAAAAAGAGGAAGCCATCCACAACCCATCCCAACCCCCCCCCATTTGGATCCATTTGCCCTTCCCTGTCTAGCAGGCAACCCTTGAACAAGGGAAATGGTTGGTTCTCGGGGAAACTGGGACGCGTCCATCCTAGATTCCTTGGTTGAGGGCCCCCAACCCACCCACCCCTTAAGGGAGGGTGGATCTTGCCCAAAGCCGACCTTTTGACCTTTTTAGTTTCCCCTTGGTCCATTTTGAGTCATGGCCCCTTTTAAGGTAATTGCCTTTGATTTCTGGGTTCTTTGGGCAAGTGAGGATTGGTTTGGGGCAACCCCCCCGACCAACCCCCCCCCCGTGGATCTTGGCAGGAATCTTCTTCTTCACAAACATTGTGTTGCTCATCCAGGCCTTCGCGGTGGCGCAGCACATGAATTCACGTGCGGAACGGCCTTATAAGTTATTTGAGCCGCTGGTTGTTTTGCCCGTTTCGTTTTTGCGGGTTCCTAAAAGGGAAGCCACGTCAGTTGTTATGAGTCGGTGGTTGTTTGGAATAGGTACCCGTTTTGACACCGGGTTTTTAAAAGGGAAACCAGCAAGAAACCAGAATTTCGGGCGTTCCCCGTTTCTTGCCAGATGATTCTCCAAGTATCACCAGGTGTCTCCAAAGTGGGACATGAGGCCTCCCGACTTCGAGATAGACCCGTCTGGCTTCTATGCGAAACCTTACCTTGTCGTTGGAGAACTTGTGCAGAGTTGGCTCACCTCTCGGTTGTTGTTGGGAAACATTTTACATTTTTGCTTATTGTGGTTTTGTGGGAAATCCCCACTTGGCTGCTAAAATTCAAATTTTTGCTCCCCTTTCAACGTCAACCAAGACCTTGCACCGACAATGAATGACCCATTGGCGGTAGATTTGGAGGATGTCGCTTTTACGGACCTGCGAGGGTGTTCTCCAGGCCGCCCGGGACATCCGAGACGGTGCTCCGAAAAAATACCGCCCATTGGTCATGGGGGCTGACCAAATACGCCCTTATCAAGCTTTGCAAAACCGAGCACTGTGCTCAGGAGGCGAGCGACGCATTGGCACTCGGCGCTCCCAAGGCTGGCGCTTTGCACGAGCGAGTCTGTTTTGCAGATCCGAGCGATACGTGGGTTCTAATGTTGACCCCATATTCATGGGTTTAAAGGAGGAATCATACCACTTTTGGAGGGGCCCTCCACCCCCATATCAATCAACCCAAGTTTATTTTGGGGAGTGGGGGCTCCTCCAAAAGTGGGATGATTCCCCACATTTCATCCAGAGATGGACGCCCCTTACTAACAAAGACGGGTTGAGGAAAGTACGCGGCCAACATCATCCGATAGGAATCCTCATCGAGTCCAAGTACTTGAGGAGATACTTTGCCCCCCATTTCTACAGGGAAAGAGACCCAGGAAAAGAGCTGGAGCTGTGTCATCCCAGTCACATCCCCTTTGGCCTGGTTTCCCAACCCAAAGCTGGGATCCACTCTAGGATCACCGCTGGGGCCTGCAAAGCCCAAGTTCCTCCAAAGCGGAAATCCGTGTGGTAAGCGATCCCATGGAGGGGTGCTCAGTCCCCTCTAAGAAACCAGCGGGGGTTTTGATGAATCCACTTGTCAGGAGGTCGTTTTGCCGGTGCTCTTGATCACGACGCCCCACGGATGCAGAGAAGAGAGCGGCAGCTTGCAAATCTTGGTTGCTTCCTGCTCACCAAGTGGGCGCCGAATTTGTCATACCTCATATTTACCTGGTCAATCCAAACCAAGTAAGGGTCACCAGACTAAGTGCACTTCTTTGGCTTCGTATTTGAGGGGGGACGTGCAAGGTTTCATAGGTTGATTGCCCTCCGAGGGTGATGAATGCACCGTTTCTGCTGATGATCGGCACGCTGCTGGTGTTCCACATGTGCCTGCTCCGCAAGAACCTCACGACCCTGGAGTACATTTTGGTGGGGCTGCAGCTGTGAGTCCATGCTTTTGTCGCGTGAGTTGGCACGTCCATTTGGCTGTGGGTCAACACCAATGGTACCATTTTGGGGTTGCACCACCCATTTTAGCCTATTTTAGTGGGGATTGGGATGTTCACTGGGGGTAACCGGGATTTTGACCCATGGCCATTTCATTGCTACGGGGTGATTCGCTTCGCTTGGGCTCTTGCCGCAGGCGCGAATCTCATACGAGAGGCGCGGGTGGACCAAGGCTTCAATGGGCATGCCTTATCGTTTCGAAAGGGAGACTACCCTTCCCTCCACTAACGTAGCACCTGTGGGAGGCTACCCTGAAGGTCAGTTTCCTCTTGTTTCTGACAAAACTCCCGTAATGTGTGTTCCATGTTTGTTTGGGCGCTGTGCGGTGTGGTGTGGGGTGAGTGAAGCCTCTCGAGTGGTTTTGGGCACAAGCTCATTCTCAATCCCTGATTTTATGGACTTGATATTTTTTGGGAAGACTTGTTAGGGGTGAACAATTTCAACAAAGTTTTGACGTGTTTTTGCCAAACTTATCTTGTCCCTGAAGGGCAGAAGAGCAAAGTCTGGAAGCGCCGGAGTTGGACGACCCTTGGCGTGACTATGATTTCGTGCGGGCGGCGCGCGCCTGGAAGGGTTCTGTTTGTTTGTTTCAGTGAGAGACACAGGCACAACAAGGGAAGATACTCTCCTCTGGCAACATTAAGCACGTGACAACCCCAAGGAATCCATGGAGTCCCAAGGACCAGAATGTAAATGCCCCAAACACATGTGCAATGCTTGTTTCTGTATTGATATGGGTATGGGTCAAATTTAAACCACCAGGGGACCGCAGGTTTTAGCCCTTGTTTCCATATGCCAGGGTTCCAGTTGGGGCACCCTATTTTTGACCCACAGCCACGTGATGCGGTCCGTTTTGTTTGGTGGGTTCCCCCAAAATGGTCAACCCGAGAAGGGTTTCAAGTCTTTCTGCACCCGTTGGGGTCGCGGTTGAAGCTGGGAGTAGCTGGAATGATTTGTTTCCATAGCTACCAGGGGGTGACTGAGAATGAAGAAATATTAATGTGGGAGTAGTCAACACTCCCCCCTCCACCCCCCAGAAGGTCAAACCTCAGATTCGACAGTGGCCTGCGGGAGAAGGTTGTCGTAGGTGGTCGCTCTGCGGGATTGCGGAGGTATTCGGACATTTGACAAAGCTTTCGTTGGCCCGGAATCGGATATCAGCTGACATCATTGGATCCAGTTCTGGGTTCTTCCTTTCCCATGTGGTCGCACCTTTGGCAGTTTGACAGATCCAAGGGAGGCAATGCGAGCCTCGATTAGTTCGTTTGTCCAGGGATCATTCTAGGGGTTGATTCCAACCATTCTCTGCAACCATCGTTCTTTTGAAAACCGAATCTTTGTTTCCCTGGGTTTTTGATGGTTTCCTGAAAAGAAGGAAGTCCTGGAAAGAATGGGGAAGGTACCCCTAGAATCATACGCGACCCCGTTTGATCCATGCAGTTCGCTCCAATCTAAGGATGGCAGGACCTTCATCCCCTTGCCTAGGTGTCTGCCCCTCAGACCTGGATGGAGGCTATAAGCCCAGGCCTCATGGGGTACAGTGGTTACGTACCGCATTCTGTTCTTTCTTGGGGTTGGTGCCTGGTGCGGTTGCGAAGGTTCTCTTACACATATTTTGGGCTCCCCACGGGTTGTTCCCCCCCCCTCCGTGTTTTGTGGAGCCGACCATTCCAGACCTATTGCCTGCGCAAAAGCGACATTCAACTCCGTTTGTACATGTTGATCTTGGGCAGACAGTTACGTTTTGCAGCTTCCATGAAGCCTGAACAGCATGGTTGTTGTTGGGAAACGTTTTACATGTTTGCTTATTGTGGTTTAGTGAGAAATCCCCCACTTAACGGCTAAAGTATGATTTTTTGCTCCCCTTCCAACGTCAACCAAGAAAGGGGGACTGCCCTTTGACCAGTTGAGTCACACTCCCTTTTTGGAAGAGCAGCCCAACTTGCCCTGGCCATGCTGGGGTCTGATAGATTGGCCAAGGCGTGGATTGGGTGGTGTTCCGTCGCCGGAAGAAGGCCAGAAGTGCTGTTTGGCGTGTGAGTGGGGAACTTTTGACACTGCAGCATTTGGGTGTGAATAATATGGATGGAGGCCATCTTCTAAACTCGTTTGTTGGTTTTAGCTGGGGAGAGGATGGCGCATGACATCCATTGCGAACTTGGACTTCCAACACTGTTTGGGGGAAGGCGGTGTCGTATGGGCCCATGACTCGGATGGCAAGAATATGTGAAGACAACGGTGACTAGGGCCCCCGAACGTGCTTGGCCTCATGCAGCTTCCTGGTTCAAGCCGAGCGCAGCAATTGTGTCCGCCGAATCCTGTATGCTGTGTTGGGGACCCCCCCGCGAGAAGTGCTCACTTGAGTGAACCCAGCAAACAATGGCTGGTCGCTACATCTCTCAGATCTAAGAGAAATCACGGGATATGCCAGGCTGATCTCCACGAGGTGACGGTTGCAAAGTGGAAGGCCCACTCAGCGTCCAAGTACCCCTTCTCTTTGGATCAACTCATCGCCTTGTTGGTTTCCATGTTTGAGTTTCTCGGCTCCTTTTCACGCTTTCCCTCAGTGGACAAATGTGGCACGTTGCCACATGCGCGTCGGTAGAGGAAACATGAGGAAACCCTAAATAAGAAGGGGGATCAGCTGTTTCATGTTTCACTTGCAGAAGGCAAGTCTGATCTCGATGAAGACGCACTCTTATGGAAGCCCAGGTGAGGCTTAAGTTTGCCCACTTGCAATCGAGGATTTTGGGGGAAGACTCACTTCAGGACCCTTGGCCAACCCCACAGGCTCAGACCCCGCGAAGTGATACCAAAGAACAGGCTCCCAAAGAATCTGGGTGAATTATAACGACCTCACACGACCGAATTCACCCCAAATGGTGGTTCATGTGGTTGGAATAGCCCCCCAACCACCGCAAGTTTCAGAATTCAGGTTGGTGAATACTATAATTCACCCAGAAAGAATTCCTTACCCCACCGGGCCCCGAGAAGGCTTACTCTTCGGTTTCGCTGGTTCGCAGGCCGGCAAGGTGGCCCCCCAGCCTACGAAGGAGGCCGGGGCATGGTCTTTTTGAACCCCCCCCCACTGGGGCTGTTCTGAAGCCGATACTTGGGTCGACTCTTGCGAACGTCTGCATGACTAGAGTGATGAGGGTTTGCTTGTTGATTAAGTTTCGTATGAGGGTTTCAGACATTCCATGCAATCAGACTTAAAGGCAGCATGGGCACTGAGGGAGGAAGGTTTGATCATGACAATTGTCCAGTAATTCAGCCAGAAGAAATAGCTAGCTATCCAACTATCGCTTCCTGAGTTCCTGGACTTTATACTTTCTGGGACGACCATTTTAGTGGCTTTGCCAAAGTTTGGTTACTGGTCTTGGAAGTCAACAAAGCTAGCTACGTAAGAGCTCGCGCCATGGTTTTTGTGTCGGGGTCTCACATCAAGTGAGCCATGTCCTCAAAACTCGGGTAGATGAAGGTTAGTTTGCTGGCAGTCCCAGCCAACAATAGTTGCGGCCGCATTCTTAATTCTTGAAGCATGGTTCTGGGTCAAAATTATACCACCAGGGGACCACAGGTGTTGGTCCATGTTTCCACTTGCCAGGGTTCCTTTTGGGGGTAACCCTCTTTTTGACCCAGCAGCCACATGGTTCTGGGATTACGACCATTTTCAATTCCGGGTTAGTGGGAAAATCCCCACTTATCTGCTAAAAAAACATTTTTTTCTCCCCTTCCAACGTCAACCAAGATTGAAAATGGTTCTGGGAGTACCATTTCACTTCCGGGCTTTGCTTGTGACACCTGCCGCGCCTTTCGCCGGGGACTCCGCGGGAAATCCGCGGTGATCCAGGACGCGGAGATGGACCCGGATGCCGTGCCGGAGGACCTCATCAAGGAGCGCAGTGAAGCGGAACGAAGGGAGCCATGGGGTGACTTGTTTTGACCCAACTGCTTAAACCGCGGTGGGGAAGCGTTGGTCAAAGGCGCTTTGGGCGGTGGTCTTCTCTTTTTGCCAAATCAAGATGCCATGACTTGACTGCTATTGGGTTGGATCTTTAGACTTTAACCTTTTGGTTGAGATTTCAAGTTGTTTTTTCCACTAAACCACCAAAAAGTTAAACTTTTTGCAGGAGGGTCAACAGCAACCAAGACCCGGAGAAGTTTTTTTAGGTAGGTGTGTCTTAGGGGAACCCGCAACTAGGTCCCCCAAAAAGTATCCTTTTAGGGGAGGGTTCCCCTACCAATAGACTACAGCAAAAAATCGGGTACCCTCATTCCAACCTCTCTACTGGAGGACCTGGGCAAAATTGGGTGGTTTCTTCATGGCTTTGTTTTGGTCACCCAAGAAGGGTAGCCTCTAAAACAGCCGAGCCACCCTTAGGCCCCTTGGGTCCTTTGGGCACCCCAGCTGGTTCGGTAGGCAGGGAATGAGACATGGAATGACCCATGTAAACCATCCAACTAGTGGTTTCCTTTAAGGGAACCCCTAGGTTCATGCAGAAAGCTGTGGGTCACTCCCTTCTGAGCACCAGCTAGTGATTTGAACATGTGGTCGTTTTACAATGGGCTTCCCTTTGCTTGGTGATGTTTAGCGGGACACTTGAGGAACCGTATGAATCGACTCGCGGAATGGAACCAGGGACCAATTAGCAATCGCTCAGTGGATTCCACTTGAAAAATCAGCGTTGCCCCAAACAAGGTTCCCAGGGTCACTAGGCAACTATGTAAACATTCATGTTGCTTCTGTAGCTGCCGGTGGCCCTCAAACCGGGGGGGTGTTCCCCTTGCCCTTTCAAAACAAATTGACGGTACCTCTAAATCAGCCTAGGTTCCCAACAGCCCAGCATCCCCCCGGAAAGAACCCTCCATAACCCTCCCTGAGAGCTGCTGCAAATCACCCCAGAGCTTTTTTGGGCGAGCCCCAACTTTCCACCGGGGCAAAGGATGCAATCGGATCAGCCAGGAGAAGTCCTCCGCGGACGCCGATTCAGCGAAGGATGTTGGGTCACATGGAAGCTCCCAGGCCTCGAACCAAGTCACTGACGGTCCTGGGAGCTTCCATGTTAGTCTGGGAGGGTGCACATCTCAGATAAAATCGACCCCATAACCCCTGTTTCATCTGAATTCCTCGATGAGGCTCCCGCTTGTCTTCCCAGACTTTCGGAGGCCTCAACTCGGGGGCGTGTATCAGTGATCGCCACATTATGTCATATTTTAGGGGACGCAAAAGTATGGGACAGACAATCAAAACATGTCGTTTAAGATGTACCCGCGATTTAGGCCAAAAAAACAGGATCATGTACTGACAGCAAATGCGGATTTGGGATATCTGACAATAATGTAGCTCACCAGATCAGTTTATGTGTGGTATCTGTTTCGTTTGCCTTTCAAGCCAACCAAAAGCCCCCCCCCCCCCCCGCCCGCCCTAAACACTATATTAAAAGAAACACTCCCAGACACGTGTTGCGCAGCCGTAGGCCGTGTATCCATAAGGGTTTTCCAACTTGCATCGTGTCCCCGCACCCCCCCCCCCCAAAAAAAAAAAAAAGGAAGGAAGGAGGTGTTCCTTTTCGCTTCCCTTTCAAAACCACCCAAAGGGAACCCTATGGGCTAAACCCAGTGCCAGAAGTCTAGGGCCCGGCCATGTTTAGTGGTGCTTCTGGGATCCGATTCGGAGACTCAGAACTGAGCGAGTCTTATGCGATCCCTCTGGAAAAAACCGGGTTCCCGTCCACTTAGCTTTAAGGCGCTTTTCAAGGTTTAGTGGGGATGTCCATTTAAAAAGGTAACTTTTTGAGGCAGCAGGGAAGTCAGGTAAACTCACTTCCTGAGGTCCTGGACTTTATACTTTGTGGTATGACCATATTAGTGGTAAATAAGCAGTTTGGACATTTGGACTTGTTCTGGCCAACCCACTCAGGAAGTGAGTATTACGCAATTCCCTTTATGTGGGTAAGTGAAGGGCATAGGCGTTCCAGAAGAGTTTCATCGGTTTGCCTGGGATTTCGACCAGTCACTCAATTCTCCTTGGGACCTATGTCCCAGAATCAAGAAGCATATTCAAAAGGGCCTCAAACCTGAAGACGAGAGGAGGTTTGTTCCCTTGTTGGGCTACAGCCCCTTTTTCTGGCTGGAGGCGGACCAACGCATTTGAGGTTCGCTTTCCATGTAGCTTAGCTCGCGTTCAGGAGCATGTCTCGGACACGGGCACCGCGACGTGAAGCCACATTTGTTTTTGCAGCGTGAAAAGGCTTGTGGGGTCATTTGAGCTCATAGCTGGCATATTTTGGGAACATGTGTCACAACCAGGGATCCTGTAAACATGTAATAGGTGTGTTTGCCGTTGTTCGAGCAAGTGTCAAAGCAGCAGTCTGATTTGACAACGGAACATATTTCAATGGAGCCGATATTAAAACCTTGCGCCATTTCGAATGGCCCTCGTTTTGCTACGACACATGTGATCTCGGGTGTCACCATCGGCATAGAGACCGTGAGAATTCATGACGCGGGCGCTTTGATGCAAAGCGCGCCTGTTTCTAAATCAAGGGTTCCTGTCAGCTGGCTGTTATACATACATATGAGCCACGGACAAAACACACGAAGACCACTTTATCAAGGCGGGGTACGTTTTTGCATAACACATGCCAAAACCATGCAAAACGATAAGGTCTCCCCCAAAAACGATAACCCTTAGCTCTATAATAACCCCTGCAGTTGCAACTTATCTAGGGTGGGACCCTTGCGTGGCCACCGTAAAACAAGAAGGCGAGTCGCCACTTTCGAGCTGGAGCTGCCAAGGTGTGCTTCGTAAATACGACACTTGTGCTGAGAAGTTGCGATTTTCGAGCTGGAGCTGCGGAAGTGTACTTCTCGTACTAGACTTGTACTGCAAAGTTGCGATTTTCGAGCTGGAGCGCTGTGGAAGTGTACTTCCCGTACTAGACTTGTACTACAAAGTTGCGACTTTCGATCTGGAGCTGCGGAAGTGTACTTCCCGTACTAGACTTGTGCTACAAAGTTGCGATTTTCGAGCTGGAGCTGCGGAAGTGTACTTCCCGTACTAGACTTGTGCTACAAAGTTGCGATTTTCGAGCTGGAGCTGCGGAAGTGTACTTCCCGTACTAGACTTGTGCTACAAAGTTGCGATTTTCGAGCTGGAGCGACTTGTGCTACAAAGTTTCCATTTTCGAGCTGGAGCGCTGTGGAAGTGTACTTCCCGTACTAGACTTGTACTACAAATCTGATTTTCGAGCTGGAGCTGCGGAAGTTTACTTCGCGTACTGGACTTGTACTACAAAGTTGCGACTTTCGAGCTGGAGCTGCGGAAGTCTACTTCGTGTGCTAGACTTGTGCTACAAAGTTGCGACTTTCGAGCTGGAGCTGCGGAAGTGTACTTTGCGTACTAGACTTGTACTACAAAGTTGCGATTTTCGAGCTGGAGCTGCGGAAGTGTACTTTGCGTACTAGACTTGTACTACGAAATTGCGATTTTTAAGCTGGAGATGCGGAAGTGTACTTCGCGTACTAGACTTGTACTACCAAGTTTCCATTTTCGAGCTGGAGCTACTTCGCTTACTAGACTTGTACTACAAAGTTGCGATTTTCGATCTGGAGCTGAGGAAGTGTACTTCGTGTACTAGACTTGTACTACAAAGTTGCGATTTTCGAGCTGGAGTAGACTTGTACTACAGAGTTGCGATTTTCGAGCTGGAGCTGAGGAAGTGTACTTCGCGTACTAGACTTGTACTACAAAGTTGCGATTTTCGAGCGGAAGATGCGGAAGTGTACTTCGCTTACTAGACTTGTACTACAAAGTTGCAATTTTCGAGCTGGAGATGCGGAAGTGCACTTCGCTTACTAGACTTGTACTACAAAGTTGCGATTTTCGAGCTGAAGATGCGGAAGTGTACTTCGCGTACTAGGATTGCACTACAAAGTTGCGATTTTCGAGCTGGAGCTGCGGCAGTGTACTTCGCGGAAGTGTACTTCGCGTACTAGACTTGTACTACAAAGTTGCGATTTTCGAGCTGGAGCTGTGGAAGTGTACTTCCTGTACTAGACTTGTACTACAAAGTTGCGATTTTCGAGCTGGAGCTGCGGAAGTTTACTTCGCGTACTAGACTTGTACTACAAAGTTGCGACTTTCGATCTGGAGCTGCGGAAGTAAGTGTACTTCCCGTACTAGACTTGTACTACAAAGTTCCGATTTTCTTGCTGGAGCTGCGGAAGTGTACTTCGCTTACTAGACTTGTACTACAAAGTTGCGATTTTCGAGCTGGAGCTGCGGAAGTGTACTTCGCGTACTAGACTTGTGCTACAAAGTTGCGATTTTCGAGCTGGAGCTGCGGAAGTGTACTTCCCGTACTAGACTTGTACTACAAAGTTGCGATTTTCGAGCTGGAGCTGCGGAAGTGTACTTCCCGTACTAAACTTGTGCTACAAAGTTGCGATTTTCGAGCTGGAGCTGCGGAAGTGTACTTCGCGTACTAGACTTGTACTACAAAGTTTCCATTTTCGAGCTGGAGCGCTGTGGAAGTGTACTTCCCGCACTAGACTTGTACTACAAAGTTCCGATTTTCGAGCCGGATCTGCCAAAGTTCGAAAACACTGTAAAACGATAAGGTCTCCCCCAAAAACGATAACGTTCAAAAAAGTACTAGGGCCAAGTAAAGTGTTTCGTCCGCTCCTCATATATATATATATATATGTATATTATATATTTACATTTATTTACACACACACATATATATATATATATATCATATATAACGTTTACCGACGCACCAGCAGGATTCTGCCCTTTCCTCCATGATTTGGAAGGCCATCCCAACCCTTCCCGCTTCATACAGCTTTCCACCGGAGTTTGTGCCGATACACCAAGTCAAGACCATGAATGTAACGCATGATGTGCTGACCCAGCGCGAGGACGGCGCAATTCCCTCCACCTAAATTCTACTGATGAGGCTGAATGGGAGCAACCCCATCATGACGCGCAGAGTTCTGTTGACCGCCCTTCAGCTTCGCAAAGCGGAGCTCCAGCGAGAAATGCCCGGCTTTGCCGGCGAACGCTCGCCATGGGGCAGGGGTCAAAATCGCGGGGACCTCAAAATAGTTGTTTTATTTTGGGTTTCCTCTTAAGCTAACCTGGAAAGGCACACAATAAGCACGCACAGTCTTGGCAAGTTTGGACCCTATCACCAGGTTTTGCGGACTATTTAGCCCAAGAACGGCAAATGGCGGACGCTGAGGCACAGTCGATGTTTGTGCGCGGCGCTTCCAGAAGATGTAATTTGTCCATGCGCCCTTTACCGCAGGAGACACATTAAGACGCCCCCTGCCCGCCGACATGTTCTCACAACCTAATCCTTGCAAGAAGCTTCTGTGAATTTGTCCTGGTGGGTGAGGGTGCCTCTAGTTCCTCCCTGTTACTTTGTGTGATTGACATGCCCAGTGAACCTGGGGATGTAGATAGATAGGAGCTGAGATGGATTGACAATTCTGGCGCACGCCCCACGCGTTGTGCGTGAAGCGCGCTGCTCATTGGTGTCCCCTTAGGTCAGTTTGGTTGAATATGATAGCAATTTCTTTCAGTTTGGTTCCAGGCAGCAGTGCCAGTTATTTTCTTCTCCTTGCACCATGGGGGAAGGAGGGACCTGTTCCAAAAACCTGCAAGGCATTTTCTTTGTGAGGGCTCCCCCTTGACCGCCACTTCCTTTGGGCTTTGGACCCACGCTCTTTCCATCTCCAGGGACCGCCGCCTTTTTTTTCTGCATCGCATGGCGTGAAAAACTCGGGCGCGAGGGTTCGCCGGAGGCTTTGAGCTCGCGGGTTGGCTCCAGATGTTTCTCCCCCCCCCAAAACAAAATAAGCGAATGAACATAAAATAAAGCTCACTCCCTGAGTGTCCTGAATTGATTCAGATATATATATATACACATATCTACATATACATATATATATATATAAATATTATGTGCTTTTTGGGGGAAGACTATTTCAGTGGCTTCACAAAAAGTTTGGTTACTTGTTTTGTCCAGTGCTTGGAGGTGTCCATGCACTGCCAGCTCGAAAAAGGGGTACCACCTCACAAGACGTCCCAAAGACTTTTCCAGTCTTTTGGCTTGTGCCATCTTGTGCTTTTCGATTTGGACTCAAACAAGTGCGAAAGCGCCAGCACAAGCTGTTGGGGCAGTGAGGCTGTTCTGGGCTATGTATGGAATGCGGGGTTGTTTGAAGTGCTACAATCCCTGGCGAGACCTGGGAGCCGATTGAAGTTGGGAAGATTTACAAATTCCTAGTTCACCAACGGCTTGCCCTTTTGATTTCTTCCCCCACCAAAAACAGAATCAACCCGAAAGGTTCCTTCCACACCTTCTGGATGGGGTTGGCTCGGCTCTTTGGGCCGCTCTTGCAGCTGCCATCCGGGGCCAATGCCCCCCTTTTTACATAGAGACCAAGACCAAAACACTCATTTTTTACCAGGACTTTCCGGGATGGGGTTTGAACCGAATCCCTGTTTTTTTTGGGCTGTATGTTAAATCTGGGGAGCACGCCGGGCTGTCCGAAGGTTCAGAGGGTGGGAGAAGCAGTGGTTGCCAGCCCTATTTGTGGAACAGCCCAAGCAGGTATGTGCCAGCGTTTGCATTTTGCCCACTCACCAGCGGGGGATTTGGATGCCACCGATCCTCCGCGTTTCCCACTGTGGATACATTGTTTTCAGATGACGCGAAGGTCCACCTACCCCCAATCAGTACAGGTTTTATTGGTCGCAGGTATTTAGTGACGCATTGCCCAACCAGGTGATCAGACCTCCCAAACGTATAAAGACATGATGTCCATTCACTTGGGTGGCCAGTTTGCTGGACATAAACAGGTCATGTTTATACGTCAGGAGGGGTCCCGGTCCACATGCAAGGTTGAGGTCCCTTGCTACCTCTATGTCCAAAATGCTGGCATGTAAAAGGCAACAAAAGGACGCAACCATTTTAGGGGACCCCAGATTTTGAGAACTACCCATATATAGAAATATCTTTATATGTATACATATATTCATACAGACGTATTCCAGAGATCGCAGCCGCATGATCTCCACGATCCCTTGTGAAACAGGCATGATTGTGTTCATCGCTTCTCACCAAAACTGTTCAGGAACTTGCCACAGCAAGCGAGATTCTGCACTCACCTCGATTTAGGGGGAAATCAAGCTCGGGCCGCATGATGAAGATTGTTCGGGATTTTAGTTGGGGTGCATTGACTAATTAGAGTTGCATTGGGCGAGAATATGCTCTCCAGCTACCAACGTGGCACCTGACGGGCCGCCTTCGAGTGGAAATGTTGTCCTCCAGGTACTCTCCCACTGGCGCCTTGTTTGCGGGAAGGGGAGAAACTTGGATTGGGGACCATGAAACTTCACAACTGTTTCCCTGCATTACCTTCATACGTGTTGCTTTGCCCTGTTAGTTTTAAAGGGAATCTATCACTACTGGACATAATTTTAGTTGTTTTCCTGGGGACTTAAGCAGGTTACCCATTTCCGCATGAAACTCAACCGGATCCAATCTCCTCTTCAAATGCAATGGAAACCAGAATCCTCATGGGGGCTTTTGGGGGGAGGGGAGGGGGTTATTACTCCCCCAATAAGGACTTATTTGGGCTCCTTCCCCCCCTCCCTCCCCCCCAAGCCCCCATGACATCCCGACATTGCCAAACCAAACCACTCCCCATGTTTCCTGGCCAAAGGCAGGGGGTTCTTACACCGTAGGCGAAGCTTTCTGGAGGCGCTGGGCCAGGCGCGGGAGTTCGACGTGTTGGGCTTGGTTTTGGTCGGTGCTGGGTGTGGGGCCAATTTGGGCCATGGGCAAATTAGAACAAACATCAGTTGGCAGAAAACAAGATTTGGGTATGGGTCAACAAGATATTCCAGGAATTGGACCGCGGTACCGTGTTTTCTTGATTTCCGTTGACCAGGACAAGCCATTTTGGGGTTGACCTTATTTTTCAGCCACACCCATTCGAGCTCTTACCAGTTCAAATCCTTCAATCAGAAGCCCGGTGCCGAACCTTTCCATTCGGGGCTCGGGGGCAGGGGGTTGTTTGTAGGTCCGTTTTGGGCTGGTTTCACGCCGAAGCCCGTCACGTCCTTTTAATGGAAGCCCCGTTGAGAGACCCGCCGTGCTGGTTGGGTTCCGCTCAGAAGGCTGGGGATGTACCGGTGGAAAGGGGATTGCCCACGGGTTTTAGGGGATGGAATTTCCAGAAGTCATTTCCCTTTCCTGCTGAGAGCTAAACAGACAGCGTTGGTTCCCTAGAGCTTTGAGTGAAACGCTCAGCGTTTTGGGTGATGTTTATGTTGCTTGTTGCCACCGTGGTGGCTGCATAGAACAATGTAAGGGTGTTGTTTTCCTCGTGCGGTTCCCGTTGAAACGACAAAAAAAAAAGGGATACCCTCAAGCACAGACACACCCATTGAGGGGTTGGGAAGAGCTATGAACAGTGCTTGGTGCCATGGGTTCCTGAGGAAGCCTAGCTGTGTCCCTCAGGGGACGTTTTGGGCTCCAATTGGAACCACGTTTGCAAAGCATGCCCGCATCCCGCAGCTGGTTCAGAACCAGCACTTCACCAAAACTCCAACGGTGACTTTTGGGTAGAGTTTCAGGCCATCCCAGGCCCGCTAAGATTCCCCAAGTCAAACTCCGGGATAGCAATTCTTAAAGCCGGTCCTTTCACCGGCCTTCGTTTGGCGCTCAAAGACCGCAGTTTCTTCCCGGCCACAAGCAGCCAAAGCGACAGCGATGGAGACCTCAACCAGCGCGGCGCAAAAGATGACTGAGCTCTCGCCACTCCACAGCGAGTCGACATTCTGCGAGTCTGAACTCAGTCGACGCAGCTCCGATGAGCGCCTGAGCCGCTCGCCTATCATGAGATCTCCTTGCGCTTGTGTATCTGTGCGGTTGTGTGCGTGTTTCACTCGGACACAAGCGGACACACTCGGGCATAATACACAGACAGACACATGCAAAGAGACATACATACAGGGACAGACACACCCCTACACACAGACGCGCGGAGACATACACACACACAAACAAACACAGGCGGAGACACAAGCAGAGGACACACATACACATACACATACACATACGCAGTCACGCAAACACAAACACAGAGACGCACACACACACAGACACACAGACGCACAGGGAGAGAGAGAGAGAGAGATAGAGCGAGAGAGAGAGAGAGGGAGAGAGGGAGAGAGACCCACACACACACACAGACACACAGACACACAACACACACACACACCCACCCCCACCCCCACACCCACACCCACACCCACACGCACACGCACACGCACACGCACAGGCACACGCACACGCACACGCACACGCACACAGAGAAACACAGACACACAGACACACAGACATACACATATCAACGACACACGCAACGCACGCACACGCACACAACACACACAGACAGAACATGTACACGCAGACACCACGCACGCACGCACAAGGCACCCAGCCACCCAGCCACCCAGCCACCCAGCCACCCAGCC